GACTAGTTAATATCTAAAAAACATGAATGATAAAAGTTTCAGTGTTGTTAACTTTTAAAATAGATGAAATAAGACAGATGTCAGCAGTAGAAGTAAAATTTCCAAACTGAATAATCTATCTTGATGTGGAGGAAGAGTAAGAATAGATATTATCATTGTATATACAGGCATTGGAATATACTAAAGTCATGCTAATGATGAGTTTGGGTGGGGTTAGATTAATGATCCACTTGGTTTCTTGGCTCTTGACTTAACTTTATGAATATAGGTAATTAACATGGAAATTAAGTAACTCTTAAGGAAGGCACCACAGCTTTGATCTCATTTAAACTTGCTCATAAGAAATTCAAGTATACTAAACAAAAATACTCATTACGGAAATAACTTTCTTGTCTCCATTAAATTGTTTCTGCAATGGAAATATCTTTGTCCATGTCAGTTACTGGGGGGGGGGGGGGGGATCATTGAATATTGTAGATCTTGAGAGTTAAATAAGCCGAGACATAAAGTCTTTATCTTCTTTTACTATGGATTGAACTCTTGACAAAATGACTGGTCAGCTCTTTAATTATACTATTATTCCACGTAATAACATTATTCCTGTGAGTCCTGTTAGGTTAGGTGGCTCAGGAGGCGGCGTAGGAAATAGAGTTGATCAGAAAAGGAAGGAAGGAGAGGTTTTATTCTGCGTCCCCGGGCGACCTATGAACCCCAAAGACAGGGCACGTGGATCCACGCCAACAGGGAGGGGGGCGCTTTTTTTATACAGCTGTTCAATGAGGGCGGGGGAGCATGAGCTGTGGGAGTTCCCGCCGCAGGGGTCGTCACGGTTTCCAGGTGTCCTCATCTGTCTGGTAGCTGACCTGTTAGGAATTCCAGGGCGGGACCGGCATCTGCGCATCTGCGTCACCATTTCCCGCCGCAGGGGTCGTCAGGGGTCGTCACGGTTTCCAGGTGTCCTCATCTGTCTGGTAGCTGACCTGTTAGGAATTCCAGGGCGGGACCGGCATCTGCGTCACCATTTACCTGGTGCACTGGCCTGTTACGGATTCTAGGAAGGGCCCAGTATCTACCTCACCATCTGCCTGGTGGAGGCATGCATCAGCTCCTGGACCCCCTTTCGACCTAACAAGTCCTAAACCTGATATGCTATAATGATCAGTTTTAGATGTTTCGCTTAAAAATGTGTGCTTTAAAAACAAAATCTTTATCAATGCGCCTTTAAAAAAATCTGTTACAGTGAGCTGGTGGAGTTTGTTGAATATATTGAGAATCAGAACATTGCATATGTTCATAATTTTAAAATTTTAACACATTTGATTCATGGAAGTTTAATTTCAATACTAAAATTATTTCTACTCTAGACCTTAGCTAAAGAAAACTTTTATTTTAATATGCTAACCAGCTTTTTGGCATTTGAAGGAATAAGATAATGAAAAAATGTGGCCCAAACCGGTTTGGCTCAGTGGATAGAGCATAGGCCTGTGGACTCAAGGGTCCCAGGATCGATTCCGGTCAAGGGCATGTACCTTGGTTGCGGGCACATCCCCAGTGGGGGATGTGCAGGAGGCAGCTGATCGATGTTTCTCTCTCATCGATGTTTCTAACTCTCTATCCCTCTATCTTCCTCTCTGTAAAAAATCAATAAATTTTTTTAAAAAAAAATGTGGTTGACGAAATAAATCTAATCTTAAAATTGTGTAAAGGCCAGTCATTTTTTCAACGTAGAAAAATGAGCTTGAGGAGCAACTAATATCTTTTTTTTTTTTAAGCCTCACCCGAGGGAGAGAGAGAAACATTGATGTGAGAGAAACACCCATTGTTGCCTTTCCTATGTGCCTCGACTGGGGATTGAACCTGAAACCCAGGTATGTGCCCTTACTGGGCATTGAACCTATAACCTTTTGGTGCACAGGACGCCGCTCAATAAACTGAGCCACTCCAGCCCCACACAACTAATATCCTTTTTAAGATATATTTTTTGAAGGTTGTTAAAATGAGTCAGTCACTTCATTAGAAAGGGAAATCTTTTCTCCTATTTAAGATACTTTAATTTTGGTTATTATAATAGTTTACCACTTTAAATAGTGTCTAATATAAACAGCATTTAAAATGAAAGAAAAGATTTTCCTTTTACTAGTAAAGTAAAAATCATTCTGGACTTCTAAAAGTGTAGTAAATAGTTGTAACTGTTCGGTGTAAATTGCAACATAATATAAAGTTATATTAACTTTTATAAGTCAAGCTATATTGAAACTCCTACTTGTATATAAGAACATAGATACCCATATATGTAACTGAACACAATGATAAAACACCTGAGAAACCCCTACCCAACTATAGAACTAAAACATTACCAATTTCACATCTATTTAAGTTCCTTTTCTAGCCTATCATCTTGGTTTTCTTCTTGGCACTAGGAAACCATTGTCCTGAGTTTTGTTTAACATTCCCTTTGCCATATTATAAAACAAAAATAAAAACTCATGTATCTCTAGAGAACATACTGCTAAGTTTTGCTTTGGAGCTTTAAAAAAAATAGTAATATCTTCTATGTAATCTTTGACTTGCATTTATACATTTGGTAGTGTTGGAGACTTGGGCTTCCAGTTTTTAAAAATGCTACTATGATGCATATATGTGCATGCTTGCTAGGGTATATACCTGGAAATTTTGTCATAATATGTTTCAATTATTTATAAAACTAAAGTACACCACTAGTGACAAAACAGTATTTTCTTCACAATTCAGTGGATTCAGTGGGAGGTTCTTCTGCTTCATGGTGTCAGCTGTGGTGCTGGGATGATTGCAGTCATCTGCAGTCATCTACAGTCAGCTGGGGCTGGAATGACTGAAATGTTAGATAGTTCAGAGTAATCTGGACTCTTGACTGGGAGCTCAGCTGGGGTTTTTGGCTCCTTGTGGCTCCTTGGGCTGCCTCACAGCAGGATGGCTGGGTTGTAAGAAAGAGCATTCCACGAGAGAAGAAGCTGCCGGACCAGTTATAGGCCTGGAATCATCAGGATCACTTACACTATGTTTTACTGTTCAACATAGACTCAGTCCTATCTCACAGTCAAAGGAGAAGATGCATATACAGGTAGGGGCAAAATTGTTTTGGGCCAGTCTTTAAAGACCAGCAATCACAGTATGTTAATCATTTTTATTTCCTCTTTTGTGAAATACCTTTTCATTTCTTTGGTTAGTGTTTTTATTGGGTTGTTTTGGATTTTTTGAGGAAGGAGAGACTAAGTCTGGAGTAAATTTGTTGCAAATCTTAATGCATTTTGTGGTTTATTGGTCCTTAAGCAGTCTTCTGAGGTAGATATTTTATTACTCTCATTTTACATATTTTATTACCCCCATTTTACAAATGAGAGAAGCACTGTTTAGTATGTTAAGAGAATAGGCTTTGAAGTCAGGCAGCCTTGGGTGATATTTTTTGGTATAAAGAATAGGATGTGGCCGAAACCGGTTTGGCTCAGTGGATAGAGCGTCGGCCTGCGGACTGAAGGGTCCCAGGTTCGATTCCGGTCAAGGGCATGTACCTGGGCTGCGGGCACATCCCCAGTAGGAGATGTGCAGGATGCGGCTGATCGATGTTTCTCTCTCATCGATGTTTCTGACTCTCTGTCTCTCGCCCTTCCTCTCTGTAAAAAATCAATAAAATATATTTTAAAAAAAAAGAATAGGATGTGTAAACATGTACAGTTATGAAATAGCATGATGCTTCCATCAGCCTACTTGTTACACCCCTGACCCTCCAAAAGATTGAGACTCAGACAACTTTACAAGTAATTTTTATTCATTTATGGTCAATTATAATGTTTGAGATAAGTGTGACTTGTTATGAGGCGACTCAGGCCAGGTGACACTTGCCCAGAGTGACAGTCTAGAAACTAGTATTCAGCTTCAAGTTCTTTCTAGTCCTACCTGCCTTCCCCATTCCTCAATATTTTTCCCTCTAAATTATTCAGTTGGAACAGTCCGTCAGGATCTGATAATCCATTTCAAACACTTATGTTTCAGTAGCCAGACTAGTTTTGCTATCACTTCTCCACTTTGAGGGTATGATGAATTTCAGAAGATAATGGAAAGGAATTGGCTGATTTTTTCACTGACTCTATTGCCATACTTTATAGTGGAAATTAAGATTCTTATGAATTATAGTTAAACTAGTTTTATAAAATTATAATAGAAGCCAGAGAGACTCACAATTAATACTCAAATATTTGCCTTAGGTATTTTAAAAAGAATACTGTAGGCATGCAGCTGAATTGCCATAAAACTGAAAATGCCACAGAGCAATTCTGAGTTAGTTCCTCAATGCAGGCCATTCAGTAAAATGTACACTTTGCCTGAACAAATACAAAATATGCAGAAATAAACTTGTAGACTCTTCTTCCCAACCCTCAAATTTAGGAAGATCGTTCTGTGTATATAAGTATAGTTTCTGATCATTACAATTCTGTGTGTTGAAGACAGACATCTCAGTACATCTCTCCAGTGTAGATAGAAGCGTTGCTTCAGGCAGCATGATGTATTTTCATGTCACCAGATTTTTTGGATCTAAGATTCAGAGGCAGAAATGAAAATGGTAATAGTACTTCTACTTATTGGAGGGATTCTTTGACATGTAGTAGAATACAGAGAATCTTTAGACTTCGACTAGGAATATTTTCTACCAGTGATACCAGCCATTGCATGACTGAGCTTCTCATTCATTTTTACTCTTTCCAGTCCCAGATTCTTACACATAATGCCAGTTCCACCAGGTTGAGTATAGTATAACACCATTTGTAAAAAAGAGGGGGGAAATTAAGTTCATTTAAAATTCAGTAAATGCATTTGTAACATAATTTTCAGAATAAACACATTTTTAAATAAAGTGTACCAAAAACATGTTACTGTCTTAAGTTTAATGCATGTTATTTTATAGACATTCATACAATTACTTTCATGTAATTTAATATTTTTATCACCTTGTTTTCAACCCCTTTCAGAATTAGGGAGGAAACTGATTCACTCTCCTTTTCATTCTTGTTTTTTTTTTTTAAACTTTTCTGTTTGAAAATAGGGTGATAAAAACTTGGTAAATTGGGTCACTTTTCGTTTCTCGGGAATATAAAATGAACTTCACACCTAGAAGAGAACACAGAAATTATTTGTTGTGGTGATTGCCAAAGCATGTTCTGCAGAACACATACCCTAGGAATTGTAGTTCAAAACAAAATAACTTTAAATTTGGAAAAAATTATATACCCCATCCACTTATATTTTACGTACATTAGTATGTTAAAGGCTGGGAAATTCTTGAATACAATGTTAATTTTTATTTCACCAGATGTTTACCATATTTAATTTAGGAATCACTGTAGATTTTTTTTTAGTATTCCATGCAATGCAGTTTGGGAAAGACTGATTTAGTTGCTTTATTTGATAGATGAAAAGCCTAAGACCTAATCATACTAAGTGATTTTCTCAGAGTCATAGAGGACTGACAGCTTAGCAGGTTTGAAATCTTCATATTTTTTAAAAAAATTATTGCATTGTAAACATCAAGTATATCTACATTATAATGGGAGAATATTTATTTTGATGAATAAGTTGAGTATTTTGACAGCCAGCTCTTCAGTACTTAGTAATATGTCAAATTTTAACATTGCTTTGTAGCTTATTACTGTCTCCCTTTAGGTCTTAAAAATTAAGATGTCTAGAGAAGCTTACATATATTGATTATTTTGAGTGATTGTTTTATTTTAGTTTATCCCTTGATGTTGCTCCCCCACCCTGAATGTTGTTCATTTCTCTCTTGAGCTTATTAGTTAGCCAAGTAACTCTGGTTCTTTAATCATAGCAAATTATGAGATTTTTACTATATAATTGGATATTATTACTATATACAATGCTTGTTAATTGGAGATCTTATTTCTTTAGTATCTATATATATAAAGAACCAGAGGCCGTCACATATGAAACAATGAAATGGACGATCAAACAGGCTGAGTGGGGTGACAAGGCCGGCAGGGAGGTTAGTGAGGGACAACCAAACGACTGAGCAGCAGGCTGCGTGGGGCTACCAGGCTGGCAGGGGGGCAGGCAGTGGGGGCAACCAGGCCGGCAGAGGGGGGCAGTGAGGGGCAACCAGGCCAGTGGGAGCGTGCAGTTGGGGGCGACCAGGTCGGCAGGGAGGCCAGTTAGGGGTGACCAGGCTGGCAGAGGAGGGCAGTGAGGGGCAACCAGGCTGGCGGGGGGACAGTTGGGGGCGACCAGGTTGGCAGACAGAGGTGGTTAGGGGTGATCAGGCTGGCAGGGGGGCCAGTTAGGGGTGATCAGGCAGGCAGACAGGTAAGCAGTTAGGAGCCAGCAGTCCTGGATTGTGAGAGGGATGTCTGACTGCCGGTTTAGGCCTGATCCCTAGGAATCGGCAGTCAGACATCCCCCGAGGGGTCCCAGATTGGAGAGTGTGCAGGCTGGGCTGAGATGACCCCTCCCCGCCCTCCGCCCCCCCGCCGCCCCCGTGCACAGATTTCGTGCACCAGGCTTCTACTATGAATATATGTCCTGACTTAAGTATATGTATTATGATCTATCTCTATATATAAAAGGCTAAGCGACCCTCTAACCAGCCAGTAGGTATGACGTGCACTGACCACCAGGGGGCAGACGCTTAACGCAGGAGCTGTTGAGCTGCGGTGACTTGGCAGCGGCGGTTCTTGAGTGACACACCCGGAACCAGAGAGGAGGGAGCCCAATTCCAAGGTGCATCACCCGAGAACCGCCCTCTCTCAATCTGGGACCTCTCAGAGGATGTTGGAGAGCCGATTTCGGCCCGATCCCCTCAGGTCAGGCCGGGGGACCCCACCTGCTGGAGGGACCCCGCTTACTCCCCAGACAACCTTTGAGCCACAACGCCACCCCTGGTGCGGCCGGCTGGGGAGGGACTGCAGGAGGTTGGCTCCAGGGTATGTCTGGCCCCTCTCGCCCAGTCCCACCCAGCTGCTACCTTCTAATTAATTTCCTTTCAATGTGCACGAATCTGTGCACTGGGGCACTAGTACTATATAATGCTTCTTAGTTGGAAACCTTATTTATATAATTATTATATAATGCCAGTAAGTTAGATTATTAATAATAAATAAATGTAAATATAACATGTTTACATGTAACATTTGTTGGAGATTTTGTTTTTGTAATACATGAATGTGTGCCTGACTTAAGTGTGTATTACACGTGTGTGTAATATATATAGAGAAAAAATACATACAGGTCTCTTTAGATTTCAATCTGTATTGGAGCAAATAGTTTTAACTTATCAAATACATTATTTTATATATGATCCTAGAATATTTTTTTAAAAAGTGGCACTAGGACACTTACACAAACCTTATTTTGATGTAGTTTTTTGGTGATAGCTTCTCATTGTTCTTTCCTTTTTTTCCAATTAGTTTAAGTGTCCTTCATAAAACAGGAGAGGCCCTCCTTTTTCAAAGGATATTTATGGAAAATTGATGGTTGTCAACTGCCAGTCAAGGCAAAAGTTAAGAGAAAGGACTAAAATAGGGATCTGGTTTTCAATTAATATGTATTTGGAATAAGTTTTTTTCTGTGTGTTCTTAATGAATTTAATATCATTTGAATTGTAATGCACCTTACCTTAAGTGGGAGGATATAGAAAAACTAAAGAGGTCTGCAGGATGTTTTCAGCTTTTGAATAATAACCCTTGTTTTTTTTTTCATGTATTGCTTGGAAGTAGAGTGTAAACAGGTAGTTTATCAGTCTGATACATACAGTCTACTCTCTGCTTATGAAAGATCTTGAATCAGAATGACCCATCCATGAGTTGTAAGAGCAGGGAGCTTAACATCAGTTGGAACTGCTTGTACATAAATGAGTAGTGGTGATTTGGTGGTATGGCAGTGGTAACCAGATGTTGGGGTCCAACCCCAGCAGGTCCAGGGGTCCCCAAAGGTGTGGACGGAGTCGGCGAAGAAGGAATGACACGGAGACAGCCTTCAGTTGATCAGCAGCCTAGTCAGGACCTCTAGTCGGGATCTCCAGCCAAGTTCTGGTTAGGATCTGATCAGGATCTGATGTTTATTGTCTTATTACATCTGTATTTATACCAGTCGATTTTAATCCTGTCAACTTCTATTGCAAAGGTTAGGGCGTCTCTTATCTCCATTCCAGGGAGTAAAGATTATGTAGCTTAAGTGTGATTGTTTGTAGTTAAAGTGATTAACTACCCACCTGGCACTTAGTTAAGGGGTTGTATCCCCTCCCTAACCTCAGGGAAAAATCCCCACCTGGGGAAACAACCTTTCTCGGAGAGGTGACCTTGGTTAAAACACATGGCACTAAGGAGAGCAAACATATTAAGAACAATATGCTATATATGCCAGGTCCCTTGAAACATATGCTGTGCAGATGTTTCTTTCCTGCAGCGACTGTGTCAAGCAGCAAGAATGGACCGGCTTCCGGCAAATTCCCCCTTTTTTATTTTTTAAATGATAGCGCATGCAAATCAGTGGCCACCTCTCAGATTGGGCTGTTCAAGACTCAGAAGAAGACTGGCAAGCAATGACAATAAGCATAGCTATAAACATAGTGGATGGAGCGCACAAGGAACCTTGTTCCTGTAGAAGGTTGCTGGCCTCTTCAGTCAAGGGATTTCAGCTGTCCTCAAGTCGGTGGTTTGGTTGTCCTTGTTGATCTGGCTAGCGGGCGGGGTCATTGGCGACAGGCTTCCCAAAGCATCAGCGAGTTGAAGGGCTGCATCACAGGGTCCATCAGGGCCGTGCTTGATGGTGGTGTCGGTGTCCGAGGAGTAAGCTGTGCCCTCTGGGTCAGCTAATATGGAAGATGGAGGGTAGTAGAGAGAAAAAGAAGAGAAAGCAAAAGAACTACAAGGCATGGAAGTGTTTAGAAAAAAGAAGGAGAAGAAAGGGAAGAAGGCAGCATCCTGACAGGCAGGCTTTATGAGGCTCTAACAAACAACTAACATCAAGGAAATGGATTCTACTTAATTGAGCTTGAGATGGTTGGCTTTGGTGAAGTATGTCTCATTTGGAATTTTGGTTTTCAGATGGTCTCCCTCAAGAAAGAACCAAGTTTTTATATAGCTTAACATAGATTTTCTTATTTTAATAAAGCCGCTTATCATTAGAGGTCTTTAGGAAGCAATGTGGATGGAACTCTGAAATTAGAAAAATACATCTTTTCAATAAAACCAATATCTTTTTTAAAAGAATGTGCTTTTTTCCCCTTGTTTTCTGATACTGCAGTTTTTGCTACTATATTTTGAAAAAATAAGAAAATCCTTTTTCTTTTATGTAAAACCTAGACCAGCCGTGGGCAAACTACGGCCCGTTTGAAATGAATAAAACTAAAAATAAAAAAGACCGTACCCTTTTATGTAATGATGTTTACTTTGAATTTATATTAGTTCACACAAACACTCCATCCATGCTTTTGTTCCGGCCCTCCGGTCCAGTTTAAGAACCCATTGTGGCCCTCGAGTCAAAAAGTTTGCCCACCCCTGGGCTAGGGCATCTTTATATTTTTGGATTCTTTTTTCTTTTTGCTGTTCTGATCTGGAGTTTTTGTTCTCATATTTCAAATTGCTGATTTGATTCTCGGCGTCCTCTACTGTTGATTCCCTGTAAATTATTCATTGCAGTTAGTGTATCTTTCGTTTCTGATTGGTCCTTTTTTATGTTGTTGATCTTCTTACTAAGTTTCTTGAAGTTCTAAGTTCCTTGAGCATCCTTATTACCATTGTTTTGAATTTTGTATCTGGTAGTTTGCTTGCTTCCATTTTATTTATTTTTCTGGAGATTTCTTCTGTCTTTTCATTTGTGACATGTTTCTTTGTCTCTTCATTTTGACTGTTTCCCTGTGTTTGTTCTATGTATTAAGTAGAGGAGCTGTGTCTCCTGGAGTTGGTAGAATGGCCTTGTGTAGTAGTGTCCTGTAGGTCCCAGTGGCTCAGCCTCCCCAGTCACCTGAGATGGGCACTCACGATGCGCCCCTGTGTGGGCTATGTGCATTGCCCTGTTGTAGTTGAGACTTGATTGCTGTTGGCATCACTGGGAGGGATTGATCCCCAGGCTCATCAGCTGTGCAGGAGACACCCCTATAG